TTAATACATCTCAGAATAATGTTTGCTTTTTTGTTACAGTGTCTCACTGTTGACTCATTTGTAGCTTGTGGTCCACTATGACCTCTAGATCTCTTTTTGCATTATTCTCTCTCATTCTGTATGGCTGTGTCTACATTGGCATCCCTTTCTGGAAAAGGGATGATAATGAGACACATCGCAATTGCAAATCCACGGGGGATTTAAATATCCCCCGCGGCATTTGCATTTACATGGCTGCCACTTTTTTCCGGCTTGGGGATAAGCCGGAGAAAAGCGCCAGTCTAGACGTGATTCTCCGGAAAATAAACCCTTTTCCGGAGGATCTTTTATTCCTACTTTTAAGTAGGTGACCTCCGGAAAAGGGTTTATTTTCCGGAGAATCACGTCTAGACTGGCGCTTTTCTCCGGCTTATCCCCAAGCCGGAAAAAAGTGGCAGCCATGTAAATGCAAATGCCGCGGGGGATATTTAAATCCCCCGTGGATTTGCAATTGCGATGTGTCTCATTAGCATCCCTTTTCCAGAAACGGATGCCAATGTAGACACAGCCCTAGTGTGAAACTGATTGTTGCTTCCTCAATAGAGTATTTTGCATCTTACTTACTTCAGACTATTTCTCTGTTTAAATAATTCTGAATTATAAACCTATCCTTGAAAACACTTGCAACCCCCTGCTAGTTTGGTGTCATCTGGAAACTTTCTAAGTGTACTCTATGTCATTATCTAAATCAGGGGTGTCCAAACTTTTTTCAAAGAGGGCCAGATTTGAAGAAGTGAACATGCGTGAGGGCCGTCCCCGCACTCTCAGCCCCAAGGCGGAGGGCCCGCAGGGTCGGAGGCGGGCGGAGAGCGCAGGGCACACCGGCCTCACGGCGGCCCAGGAGCAGGGCGAACCCGCAGCCGAGCGGGGGAGCGGGGCTGCGGACGTGCCCTACAGGGCAGGCTCTAGGACCGCGGAGGCCATGGGCGGCGGTGCGGCCGGAAGCGGCACGCTGGGCGCGCCAGTTCAAAAGAGCGCCGGGGAGCCGGGAGAGGGGGAGGAAGCGGGGGCCGTAGCACGGCCGGAAGCGGCGCGCTGGGCGCGCCAGTTCAAAAGAGCGCCGGGGAGCCAGGAGAGGGGGAGGAAGCGGGGGCCATATTATATCGGAACACGGGCCGGACTTTGGACATGCCTGATCTAAATGGTTGACAAAGATATTGAAAAGAACTGGATACAAACTGATCCCTGCAGAATCCTACTTGTTATGTCCTTATAGCATGACTAGTCTAATTCCTTGGGCTGTCCTTACGTTTCTTTTTATAGATGGGTATTATATGCGCCAATTTCCAGTTTTCTGGAATCTCTTTTGGATTCCATTCAAAGATAACAACTCAGATATCTCCTCAGTCATAGAATCATAGAACCATAGTGCTGGAAGAGACCTCAGAAGGTCATCAAGTCCAGCCCCCTGCTCTAGGCAGGACCAATCCCAACTAAACCAACCCGGCCAGGGCTTTGTCAAGCCGAGACTTAAACACCTTTAGGGATGGAGACTTCACTACTTCCCTAGGTAACCCATTCCAGTGCTTCACTATCCTCCTAGTGAAATAGTTTTTCCTAATATCCAACCTGGACCTCTCCCACCACAACTTGAGACCATTGTTCCTTGTTTTGCCATCTGTCACTACTGAGAACAGCCTTTCTCCATCCTCTTTGGAACCTCCCTTCAGGAAGTTGAAGGCTGCTATCAAATCCCCCCTCAATCTTTGCTTCTGCAGACTATTCTAAGATGTATTTCATAAGGCCCTGGTGACCTGAAGATATCTAACTTCTAAGTAATTTTTAACTTATTCTTTTCCCATTTTAGCTTCTGAATGTACCCTATTTTCACTGCCATTCATTAAGCTAGACATCTAACCACCACCAGCCTTCTTGGTGAAAACCAAAGCAAAGAAGTAATTTAGCACCTCTGCCATATCCACAGTTTCTGTTGTCTTCTCTCTTCATTTAGTAAATGGCCTACCCTGTTCTTGGTCTTCCTCTTGCCTCTAATATATTTGTAGAATGTTTTCTTGTTATCTTTTGTCTCTAGCTAGTCTGAACTTGTTCTGTGCTTTGGCCTTTCAAATTTTACCCCTACGTACTTGCGGTATTTGGACTTTGTAATTCGACCTAGTTTTCACTTTTTATAGGGAAGACAGGGTCCAAGAGGAGTGGAGACTGCAGGAAAGGGAATAATATATCCTCTGGGTTTATGAAGGTCTCCATACAGTCTGGAGTCCAGGGAGTTCTAGTTGGGATGCCGGTCTGTGGCCTCTGGTCAATCTTTGGATAATGAGGCAGTACCAATGAGGGGCCCATACCACACTCATGGAAGGGACTGGTGAGTATCTGTCTTTTTGCTTTTGTTCCATTGTCACTGCTGGAATCATCTCTTTCCGCACCTTGCCCTCCAACCTGTGGGTCTTTTTCACAGCTAGTTTCATGGGTTCTATTTGGGATGTCTTGCTAGGTCTTGATGAACTCAGGGAAGAAACAGGTTTCTTATAAACAGTCTTCTGAGGGGATCTGTCCTTGTGTCCATGAGAGTGTCTCTTACTCGCATGGGGGGAGCCTTGTGGGAGGAGTCTTTGGGATTCAGTGGTAAAGGCTCCATACCTCATGCTTAGAGGGCTGCTGCTAACTGGCTGAGGACAATATATGGTAGGAAAGGGGAAGAGTGGGGCCTCAGCCTCCTTCATCAGAAACTTAACGTGGAACTCTTGTTGCCTAATTCTGGGCAGAAAAGATCAACATATATTACACTTTGCTTATATACATGCTTCTCCTGAGCTGTACCAGCACCATTGATGCTTGTCACTAGTGGAGAAGAAACGAGGGCAACAGACACAACTCTTGAATCTTTAGACTCTGGGCATAGTCCCTGGACCAGGGAAGTTGGTCTCAAAAACTGGCCTGGGGGGACTTATCCTGTACTAATTTTATAGATATAAAAACTATTTACAAGTTTACTTTACAGATTTAGGCACTGACCTAGCCATGAAAAAGTAAGAGTCATTTATCCACATCATCCTTATACTCTCAGTCAGGAGCACAAAAGAAATCACTGTGTATGTGAGAGTCAATGGTCACTGTTCTGAAGAATGTCTGGACTCAGATGCATGACATGTATGCATACCCATGTGTGGAATGCACTCAGAGTCCAGCACCTGAAGTAGTAAATTTCTTTATACACTAATTACGTAAAGGGTACAATTTCTAACTACACAGAGACCCGCATGATGCAGAGCCATGAATTGTTATATATAAATGTATAAAGTAGACAATATCTTCAGTGCTATCAGTATCTAATATTGACACAACACAAATAAAATATTGGATGCATCAGAATCTCAACTGTAGCTAAATAATTTCTTTAAGACTCCCTGATGAGCAGTGTAAAAATAATATATTTTAAATTCTCCTTTAAAAACACCAAGTCATTAAAGGGTTAATTCAGTATTTTTCATGCACACAAATAACTCATATTTTAGCTTGAACAGAGACTACTCTTGGACAGCTTTCCAGCTGATAAATGATACAATTCAACATTTCTTAATGCAATAAGAATCTACCATCTCTCACTCCTTTCAAATTTCACAGCCTGACAAAGCTTCAAGTTCCATTGGTCAGAATAGAAAACTTACTTCAATGATCATTATGATTCAAAATCTATGCAAACACCACATAAGTGACTATATCAGTGGTCCCCAACCTGTGGATTCCAGCTGATAAATGATACAATTCAACATTTCTTAATGCAATAAGAATCTACCATCTCTCACTCCTTTCAAATTTCACAGCCTGACAAAGCTTCAAGTTCCATTGGTCAGAATAGAAAACTTACTTCAATGATCATTATGATTCAAAATCTATGCAAACACCACATAAGTGACTATATCAGTGGTCCCCAACCTGTGGAGGTTGCCGGGCGCCAGGGGGCGTGGCAGTTCGCCCGCTGGGCGCCAGGGGGCGGGGATGGGGGCGGGGTCCCCCAGCTCCGTGCCCCCGGGGCCGGCGCTCACTATGCGCCTGGAGCCGGCTCTGGCACTGTGCATGCGCCACGTGCCCAGGGCCAGGCCAGCCCCGAGCACGTGGCGGGCGCACACGAATGCCCCCGCGGGCACCATGGTGCCCGTGGGCACCATGTTGGGGACCACGGGACTATATCATCTCACTTATTTTAAAGTCCTTACAGGTTGTAATTCTGCTCTGCACGTTATAACTATTCTACTAGACCGCTTTTTTTTTTTTATTAGGGCACAGCATTACCACAAAACAAATAAGCTACCTTTAGTCTGGTCCATTTTCTGAAGCTACGGACCCTTGTTGAGATGTACTAAAGTCCACTGACTTAGTATTTTAGGGAGAATCCCTCTTCATTCCGGTGTAAAATTTATGGGAGGGGGTAAAGGGAAGGAAGGTGAAGAGAACATTTATATACAAAAATGTTTCCCAATCTTCCACTGGCTGATTTTAGGGCCATACAAATCCATTTTCTCTTTCTGCTTGATTAGGTAGTGAAGTCACAAATCATGTTTTCATTATATCAATTTGTTGCCATTGAAAGAATTGTGATGTCCTCATTTTGGCATTATGACTTCACTCCTGTACCAAGTAGGGAAAAAAAGCTGTGCTTTATGGAGAGCAAAAGCCAGCAGCTTTCATATCTAAATATAGTAAGTAGATTTCCTGGAAAACATGCAGACTTGTATGTAAGCCTGAAAGTTTTCACCAGTACAAAAAGCAGTAAATGTTCAATAAGAAACCAGGAATCTCCAAATTCTTACTTAGTGGGCAAAAAGCAGAAGAGTATGAATGCTATTAGATCCACTTTTTGTCTGCATGTAAGTAGTACAGAGAATTCTCTACCAAACAAAAATATACTAAACACACAACATAGGAATGAGTTACTTAAAATGCTTAGAAAGAAGGGAAACAAAGTGAGTACAGAGGTGCAAAGTGTTTGACTTTTGTTCTACCTCCACTCTTGAGAAGATAGCGATTAACATCTTGTATGGTGGTATTAATTGTAGGCCCCGTCGGAACACTTCCAGGAGTGACATCTGGGTCATTTTCAGGGTCAATATTCTGCAATCCTTTCCACGGCACACCAGGGTGAAATTCTATTTTAAAATAGTAAAAGCAAGAGTCTGCAAAATTATCATATTTTGCTTTAAGCTCCCACACAAGACACTGATTCAGCCAATAACACATGCACTTTGATTCAGTGACATCAGTATTTTTAAGGTAATGTTTTTGTGTTTTGTTACCTGGCGGCCAGTTAATGCTAGAACCATTGGAGATTTTATCACTATCAGTTTTGGCACGTGACCAGCTGTGAGGAACAGCTACAGGCGGACTGGCTGGTGAATCACTGTTTTGGATCAGATCGTACCGTCCATAAGAGTCATCAATGGAGGACTTTCCTGGAGGACCAATACTTAGACCTCCAGGAATAGCACCTGAAATGATTGAAGGAAAAAAAAATGATTTAGGAGGCAGCACTCATTCTTTGGCTGCTCCTTTCATCTCTGTATTTTGTAATTTATCTTTTCCTTAAAACGTTTTGAATGTTAAAATTAATACAATTAAAATATACACACAGTAAGAAAACAAGCACACAAGATTAACACAGGTCAAGAAAGTCTTCCTTGGCATTCCCAGGAACTGAATCTGAAGAGTACATCAAACTGTAAAGTTAGCTAACAGCAAGTCAGAGAAGATTGCTGTCAAAAACAAGCTCAAATGGATAAATCCAAATAGGAATTACAAAACAGTTTAATGTGGGCAGTAAAAATATTTGCAGGTTAACAGCTTCCATTGAAGTGAAATTATTTCAGTTGATAATGACAAAGAAGCAGGATACAGTTATCTTAATAGAGCACAATTCTGAGCAGAGCTGGGGATTTAGAACTCAAAATTTGGGAGATAGAACTGGGGGAGAAAGTTAAAAGCATTAGTGATTGCGGTACAGTGGCAGAGTAGTGAGGGATGTTTGCATAATCCTTTCCACATTAAGGCTGTGTCTATTTGATGCTATTCACTAATTTTTCTGAACTACATTCACCAAATCAAAAACATTTTAAAATGAAGCTGTGATGGAAGGTTTCATGTATTGCTGAACAGCCTATGCCAAAAGTTCTTTAACAGTATTAAACTAACAGTTTGTAATCTGAAAGGGTATTTTTATCAGCTTTTACAGTAGGGAATACCTGGAAATTCGGTTGCTTTGCCAATCTGACCATCATATCCTAAAAGTACGAACTGATAAACATAGATGTGACATACCATGCTTGCTAGAGTTCTGGTCAAGTGAAGAAGCAGCACTCGATAGATTATCCATTGAGTTGGGGTGTGTCCACTGAGGAAGGCGAGACTGAGACTGAGAAGTATCCTTCACTGACAAACCACCAGTAATGTCCATGCTGTTTACATTCATGTTCGGATTCAGTCCAGCTAAGGGAAAGTAGATAGGTTGTTACATAGAACCATATGGCTGGAAGAAACCTCAAGAGGTCGAGTACAGCCCCCTGCCCAAAGCAGGACCAATTCCAACTAAATTATCCCAGCCAGGGCTTTGTCAAGCCGAGATGTAAAAACTTCTAGGGATGGAGATTCCACCCCCTCCCTACGTGGAATTCTAGTACTTCACCACCCTCCTGGTGAAACAGTTTTTCCTAACTTCCAACCTTGACGTTGCCCACTGTAACTTGAGACCATTGCTCCTTGTTCTGCCATCCATCACTACTGTGAACAGCCTCTCTCCATCCTCTTTGGAATCTACTTCAGGAAGTAGAAGGCTGCTATCAATCCCCCCTTACTCTTCTCTTCTGCAGACTAAATAAGACCAAAGCACTCGGCATCTCTTTTGCGCAAAATCTTGCCGCCTGTCTACACCGGCGGCGAGTATTTGCGCAAGAATACTGACTTTGTAATGTACAAAATCAGTGGTTCTTGTGCAAATACTCCGACGCGCCTGCTCAGGGATAAGCCCTCTTGCGCAAGTATTCTTGTGCAAGAGGTCCAGTGTAGACAGCCACGTTAATTACTTGCACAAGAAAGCCCGATAGCTAAAATGGCCATCGGAGCTTTCTTGTGCAAGAGAGCAAAAAAAATCTTTTGCGCAAAGGCACATGCCAATATAGACGCTCTCTTGCGCAAACACTTTTAACAGGAAAACTTTTCTGTTAAAAGTATTTGCGCAAAATCATGCGCAAAAATGCAGCCGTAATGTTTTAAACCTTGTGGTGATCATCATCCTAGTATATAGCAAATATTATTATACTATTTCAGCTAGCCTGTAACATAGTCAAGTATTATCAGCCTCTCTTTACAAAGCTTAGAGGCACAGCTAAATTATTAGTCCTATAAAGCCTAGGGCAGACAGAAATAAAATACAGATCTCCAGAATCCCAGTCAATTGTCTTGAATACAGGACCATCTTTAATATCCTTTTGGTGCAAATTTTAGGACAACTATATAGTCCAGTTACAATGCAATTGGTTCGTAACAACATTATATTCTCCTGATAAAAATAAAGATATTGACATTTAAAGCACTGTAATCCAGAGGAAGATAGTAGTGATTCTGGTAGTGGGAAGGTAATATCCCCTTTAATTGGCTGATCAGTTAAGCATAATGTTTAACTTGTTAACCAATTAAAAGTGGGCAAACAGGGGGGCCCGCTCCAGCCTGCACGGCTAGAGCAGCCCTCCAGCCACTGCTGGTGGGGAGCTGCTTCAGCCCCCACCAGTTAATCGGTAAAACATTCACATCCTTAGCTGGTAGGGCATTTTTTGGAAGAGATCCTTGACTTTGAAACTTTTTTCTCTATTTGGTGTACTGGAACCAAGAATTAACTTTCTAGGTATGCTGCTAAGTTCAGAATTTGTCTCAGGCTTTTGGGAGAGTGGGCTGAGGTAGGTTATGATGATGACTAGGTGTAGGACTAGTACAGTGGTGGGAATAAAGGTTTTCAACCTGTACTCCACGGGCTTTCTACAGAAAATATATAAGATTTCCAAAAGGGTCCACACCTTAATTCATAAATTGCCTTTCTTTTAAATCCTTTCTCCAGGACAGCAGGGATGGATGGTGATAGGTCTGTTATCGATACATGCACAGCATGTGCTATGTTTGTCTTCCTCCCGGAAGAAAGAACGGATTTCATCTGCACTAAGTGCAACCTGGTCGCCATTTTGGAAGAAAAAATTAGAGGACTGGAGGCCCAAGAGTCAACCCTATGCTCGATCAGAGAGGATGAAGACTTCCTCGACAGAAGGCAGTGTTTAATCCTGCAAGCACGGGAGGTGGAAGAGCCAGTGAGGCCAGTACGGGACCAGAAAGAGAACTGGCAGCATGTAGCTTCTAGAAGGGGAAAAAGGCCAGCACGGGAATCCCCCAATGCTATAGCGGTAAGTAATCGCTTTCAGGCTCTCTCCACAGGCTCTGCAGTGGTGAATGCTTTGGATGGAACCTCACAAGGAAGAAACTGCAAGGGAACACCATCTACTGGAAGGCATGGGATGCGTAGTCCTAGGGATGGGTGGTGGTGGTCGGGGACTCCCTACTAAGAGGGACTGAGCCATCCATCTGTCGTCTGGACGTGGAATCTCAAGAGGTGTGCTGCTTACCAGGAGCTCAAATTCAGGATGTGACTCAGAAGCTTACAAAGCTGATCAAACCTTCAGATCGCTACCCCTTCCTGCTTCTCCACATGGGAACTAACGATACTGTCAAGAATGACCTTGAGCGGGTTACTGCAATTTATGTAGCGCTGGGAAGAAGGATGAAGGAATTCGGAACGCAAGTGGTGTTCTCGTCCATCCTCCCTGTTGAAAGGAAAGGGCTGGGTGGGATCCTTGAATTGAGGAAGTAAATGCGTGGTTGTGCAGGTGGTGTCGCAGAGAGGGCTTTGGTTTCTTCGAACATGGGATTTTGTTCCGGGCACAAGGATTGTTAGGAAGAGAAGGGATCCACCTAATCAAGAGAGGAAGGAGCATCTTCGTGGGCAGGCTTGCAAACCTAGTAAGGAGGGCTTTAAACTAGTTTAGTTGGGGGACGGTGACCAAAACCCTGAGGGGAGTGGGAAAGTCGGATACCGGGAAGAAATGCAAAAAGGAACGAGCAAGAAAGGAGGTTCCCTGAATCGAATGGAGAAGATAGGGCAATCAATTGGTTATCTGAGGTGTTTATACACTAATGCGAGAAGCCTGGGCAACAAACAGGAAGAACTGGAGGCCCTGGCCCAGTCCAAGAAATATGATTTAATTGGGATAACAGAGACTTGGTGGGATGACTCACATGACTGGAGCACTGACATGGAAGGGTATAGACTGTTCAGGAAGAACAGGCAGGGGAGAAAAGGAGGAGGAGTTGCACTATATGTAAGATAGCACTATGATTGCTCAGAACTCTAGTATATAGGGGGAAAAAAACTTGTTGAGAGTCTATGGGTTAAGTTTAGAGGTGCAAACAACAGCAGTGATGTTGTGGATGGAATCTACTACAGGCCACCGAATCAGGTGGATGAGGTAGATGAGGCTTTCTTTGGACAACTGAGAGAAGCTTCCAGATTGCAGGCTCTCGTTCTCGTGGGGGACTTCAATCACCCTGACATCTGTTGGGAGACCAATACGGCAGTACACAGGCAATCCGGGAAGTTTTTGGAGAATGTTGGGGATAACTTCTTGGTACAAGTACTGAAGGATCCGACCAGGGGCCGTGCGCAGCTTGACCTTCTGCTCACAAACAGGGAAGAACTAATAGGGGAAGTAGAGGTGGATGACAACCTCGGAAGCAGTGATCATGAAATGGTAGATTTCAGGATCCTGACCAAAGGAAGAGAAGAGAGTAGTAAAATACACATCTTGAACTTCTAAAAAGCAGATTGTGACTCACTCAGAGACCTGATGGGCAGAATCCCCTGGGATGTTAACATGAAGGGGAAAGGGGTCTAGGACAGCTGGCAGTATTTTAAAGAAGTCTTACGGAAGGCACAGAAAGACACCATCCCAATGCGTAGCAAGAAAGGCAAACATGGTAGAATTGGCTTACAGGGGAAATCCCTGGTGAACTTAAGCACAAAAAGGAAGCTTACAAAAAGTGGAAACTTGGACAAATGACCAGGGAGGGATTTAAATGTACAGCTCGAGAATGCCGGGGGGTTATCAGGAAGGCGAAAGCGCAATTGGAATTGCGACTGGCAAAGGATGTGAAGGATAACAAGAAAGGTTTCTACAGGCATGTTAACAAGAAGGAGGTGATCAGAGAGGGTGTGAGGCCCCTACTGGATGAAAGAGGTAACCTAGTGACAGATAATGTGGGGAAAGCTGAAGCACTCAATGCTTTCTTTGCCTCTGTATTCACGGACAAGGTTGGCTCCCAGACTAATGCGCTATGTGATGCAAGATGGGATGAAGATAGACAGCCCTTGGTGGATAAAGAACAGGATAGGAACTACTGAGAAAAGCTAAACGTACACAAATCCATGGGTCCGGACTTAATGCGTCTGAGAGTACTGAGGGAGTTGGCAAATGTCATTGAGGAGCCTTTGGCCATTATCTTTGAAAAGTCATGGAGATTGGTAGAGATCACGGATGATTGGAAAAAGGCAAATGTAGTGCTCATCTTCAAAAAAGGGAAGAAGGACGATCCAGTGAACTACCATAATTTAGCGAATATAACCTGTGAGTTATATTCATTTTTACAAACCCTGCAGCCCCCCCGCGGGGTATACCCAGGTGCAGTGTATACAGAATTTTTTACACTCACCAGGTGGTGAGCTTTCCGTCGCCTCTTCCTGTGGCCATACAGCCGCCAGCCTCCAGTCTGGGGAGTGCTCTCTCCCTGGTTCCTGCGCAGCCATAGGAAGGGCGGGGGAGCGCTCATCCCTTGGTTCCTGGCCGCCAGACTCCAGTCTCCGGGCGGGGGAGTGCTCACCCTCCCAGTTCCTGTGCACCGTAAATATACCCCCAGCAAATATACCCCACGGGTTATATTCGTGCGCGGGGTATACAAGATTTTTTTTACTCAACTAGAAAAAAATGTGGGGTATATTCGCTAAATTATGGTATAGGCCAGTTAATCTTACCTTGGTTCCTGGAAAAATCATGGAAGGGATCCTTAAGGAATCCATTTTGAGGCACTTGGAAGAAAGGAAAGTGATCAGGAATAGTCATCATGGATTCACAAAGGGCAAGTCGTGCCTGACCAATCTGATCAGCTTCTATGATGGGGAACTGGCTCTGTGGACATGGGAAAGTCAGTGGATGTGATATACCTTGACTTTAGCAAGGCTTTTGATACGGTCTCCCACAATATTCCTGCCAGCAAGGTAAGGGAATGTGGATTGGATAAATGGACGGTAAGATGGATAGAAAGCTGTCTAGAAGGCTAGGCCCAGTTGGTAGTAATCAACGGCTCGATGTCAGGATGGCGGTCGGTTTTCTAGCGGAGTGCCCCAAGGTTCGGTTCTAGGACGAGTTTTGTTCAATATCTTTATTAATGACCTGGATGAGGGGATGGATTGCACCCTCAGCAAGTTTGCAGATGACACTAAGCTAGAGGGAGAGGTAGATACGCTTGAGGGCAGAGATGGAGTCCAGAATGACACAGACAAATTGGAGGATTGGGCCACAAGAAATGATAAAGTTCAACAAGGACAAGTGCAGAGTCCTACACTTAGGATGGAAGAATGCCAAGCATTGTTACAGGCTGGGGACTAACCAACTAAGTAGTAGTTCTGCAGAAAAGGACCTGGGGATTGCAGTGGATAAGAAGCTGGATATGAGTCAATGGTGTGCCCTTGTAGCCAAGAAGGCTAATGTCATATTAGGTTGCATTAGGAGGAGCATTGCCAGCAGATCTACAGAAGTGATTATTCCCCTTTATTTGACTCTGGTGAGGCCACATCTGGAGTAGTGTGTCCAGTTCTGGGCCCCCCCACTACAAAAAGGATGTGGATGCATTGGAGAGGGTCCAATGGAGGGCAACCAAAATGATTAGCGGGCTGGAGCATATGACCTATGAGGAGAGGCTGAGGGACTTGGGTCTGTTTAGCCTGCAGAAGCAAAGAGTAAGGGGGAATTTGATAGCAGCCTTCAACTTCCTGAAGGGAGTTTCCAAAAAGGATGGAGAAAGTGGTGACAGATGGCAGAACAAGGAGTAATGGTCTCAAGTTGTGGTGGGAGAGGTCCAGGTTGGTTATTAGGAAAAACTATTTCACTAGGAGAGTGGTGAAGCACTGGAATGGGTTACCTAGGGAAGTAGTGGAGTCTCCATCCCTAGAGGTGTTTTAAGTCTTGGCTTGACAAAGCCCTGGCTGGGTTGATTTAGTTGGGATTGGTCCTGCCTAGAGCAGGGGGCTGGACTCGATGTCCTTCCAAGGTCTCTTCCAGCTCTATGGTTCTAGGATTCTATAAATCATTAGGCTTCCACAAATGAAAAGCCACTGACCTAGAGCAAAGGATAGGTGTCTGAGAAGATGAAATAATTCAACAAATAAACACTATTTCCATTCTTTTGTAAATGGTAATTTAAATGAAAGAACACTTACCGAGAGGGTAAGGAGCAAAGGTGTTCGGTGAAGACTGTTGCTCTTTGGTCTGCAGGTCAGGTAGGCTGGGAGCCTGGGAATGGGATGAAAAGCTATCCATGGCTGATTTGCCTGCAGAGGGGTGCAAAGACAGATGTGGAGGGGGAGGCTGCTGCTTCATAAGCAGGGCCTGGGCCAGCTGGCGCTGGTGCTGCTGGATCTGCTGCTGCATGTTATTGATTGTACGTGCAACCTGTCACCAAAAGAAACAAAAATCAGCAAAAGGTAGATAGTAAAAAGATACACAAACCACATTGCACCAATTTCTAAAATGAATCAACACAACATCCAGCACCTTTGAAACAAAGAATTAACTGAATGAAAAACTCAAAAGCATTTTGAAATTTGAGAAAGGTAGACGTGTACCCAGTACAGCTGGTATTTTTCTCTCTCAATATAAATTCATGCAATATATTTACTTAAAGCTACATTGATTTGGTGTAATGAACTAATATCTTCAAAGGTAGCTGAAACCAGAATCTAATGTTGAAATCAAGTTGGCAAGTTAAACTTACTTGCTGCTCCTGTTGTCTCATAGGCCCGGAAACATTACGCTGAGCCTGTAACATTTGCTGCTGGATTTGTAAACGTTGATATGCCTGCAAACAGGAACAAGGAAGGTCAAAAGTCATACATTAAAAAAAAATACTTGTCTGAAGAGTGCTTGTAAGTTACAAAATATAAGGAAAGTGTTGGTCCTCTACTTAATGGGGAAGGAGAGGTAATAATGGCCAACAACAAGAAGGATAAGGTACTTAATGCCTACTTTGCTGAAGTCTTCATTAAAAAGGTAAATTATGACAGGGTACTTAACACAATTAATATTAACAACAAAGGGAAGGAATACAAGCCTTATGAAACTGATCTAAGAGTATTTAAGGATCAAGCGAAACAATCTCGGAACTGACACACAGATATGGTAGATTATCTGTGAGAATTTATGGAGGACAAATGAGGTCCAATGTGACTGGAGAATGGCAAAAATAGGACCTATTTTTTAAAAAAGGAAACAAAGACTACTGTGGAACTATAGTAGATCTGTCAACCTAACTTCAATACCTAGAAAGATACTAGAACAAATTATTAAATAATCAATTTGCAAACAGGGAGATAAATAATGACAATTCCAGAAAGAACAACAAATAATGGTTTTAATGTGTAGCAAAGGAGATTTCAGATTAGGAAAAAAAACCTAACTATTAAGATAGGTAGGGACTGGAATATGCTTCTAAGGAATGTTGTGAAATACCTATTACTGGCGGTTTTTAGGACTAGGTTAGACTAACACCTGTCAGATATGGTATTCGTTTACTTCATTCTGCCTCAGTGCAGAGACTGGACTAGATATTCTCTTGAGATTCCTTCATTTTTTATATACTTATAAATGCAAACTGCAATATTCTTGGCTTCCTGAAGAGGATTACTGCAGGAAAAGTATGTTTTCTGGTTAAAAAGAACTTTTGAAAGGATAAATATATTTTTGCTTAACTGTTGATAATGAGCAGGACTCAATAATTATTCACTTAAAGATGGGAATGTGAGTTTCTTTGCATGATTAATAAAACCAGAAGAAAAAAATGTTAAGGGAAATTATGAAAACTATTTATCCAAACAATAATGTGAATTAATGTTCTTCAGTGTTGTACAAACTATGGTAAAATTCTGACATTTAGTCAGATTAAAACAAAACAAAATGAAGTCATACAGGACTTTACTCCAAAAGCTGTGTGTCTGATTTTAGTGGGACTAGTTGAGAAATAATCATAATTAGTGTAATTATAAGAATGTGGTCATGAAATTTTGAGTTTTGAGAGCATTTTTTCAAGGACTGCACTGCTCATTTATTAAAGAGTGTGAATCTAATTGTCCTCTTTAAAACTGAGAAAGGCAGTGATAGACTAATAATGGTAATTAAGACTGTAATACGGAGGATTTCATTCAGTGAGTGAAAGTAAAGTGTTAACATCAATAATTTTTAAAAATAAATCAGAAGCTTTAGTCCTCACAATAACAAACTGCATGACTAAAGGAAAATCTATAGCCCCCAAATAATATTTGTAAATAAGACATCACCAAACCAAATATTACCAGTGCTATTTATAACACAAATAAAAAACGGAGACAACTGACTTGCTAGTTATAGTTACTAACACGAAAAGGACAAATGTCCTTAGCATTAACTGACAATACAGAAAATTAGTTACTGTATCAATTAAGGAGCATCAGGAAAAACAAAACTATTTTATATCTTAAAGAATATGTAACTATAAAAGCAATAACTATCTTAAAGCCCCCCAAAATCAATGTTCCTTTCCATTTTAAAACTAAGCTGACATTTTTATTATTTTAAATATGATGTACAAATCTGAAGAAATGTCTTCAAGTCTGATATACATCTCATTTGCTGTGTGCTTTTTAACTCACCAGCTGCAGTTGATAGAGCTGGTTCAACATCGTCATATGCTGAGGATTAATTGGCGAGGTTAATAGTGCAGGGTTGAGACCAATGTTTTTTGCTGCAAACTGCAAAAGCTGTGCTTGAACCTGGGGAACAGAATAGAGCACATCAGATTTAATCAAGGTATGTAAATAGTAAGAGCCACACATCATAAAATAAATTAATAGAATACAATAATTCCTCATTTAACACTATAGATATGTTTCAGAAAATGATCGTGTTAAGTGAACATGTGTTATGCGGGATCAATTTTCCCATTGAAAATAATGGAAAAGGTGGGTGTTGCGTTTCAAGGGGTGGTGTCTGTTGGAACTGGGACATAAGGTTGTGGGAGAAAGGGGACTGAGTTGCAGCAGGGAGGGGAGGTGTTTGGCTCTGGGGAAAGGAAGGGGAGGAGAAGGAAGGGGGATTGGGTTGGGAGTATGCCCCTGTGACGGGTCTGCTGGGACCCGCACTGCATCTGGCAAGGGGGGGGGGGTCCACCGGGGAATGGCACGGCGAGCAGCGAACCCTCCACCGCTTTGCAGGGAAGCGGGGGAAGTCCTGCACAGCTGTCGGTGATGAACTGGCTGGGGGAAACCAGCCACTGGCCTGCAAGTGGGGGCGAAGGAAAGGGGGCAAGGCATCTGGCAAGGAAGCCTGGCGCAGCCGCCATCAACAGGCCGGCTGGGAAAATTGTGTTATTCCGGGGATGGTCGTGTAATTCAAAAAAACGTTCCCTAAAAAAAAATCGTGCTATCGCGAAAATGTGTTAAGCGGGCACGTGTTAAATGAGGAATTACTGTACTAGGAATGGAAGGGACCTCGAGAGGTCATCGAGTCCAGTCCCCTGCTTTTTCTGATAGGTATAGAAATAAAGAAAATAAAGAGTTTCTCTCAGAGGGGTAGCCATATTAATCTGTATCTGCAAAAACAAGGTGCCGTCCTGTGGTACCCTAAAATAGTGGTGGGCAACCTGCAGCCCGTGGGCTGCATGCAGCTTACTGGGGCTCCACCTGTGGTGTGTGGACCCCTTGGCTGCTCCCCTCACCTATGAGCCTCTCACATACTGGGGCACTGAAGCCCCACACTTCCTTCTCTTCCCCCATCCTTCTCCGGACTTTCGGAGAAGCTGTGAATCACTCAATTTGTGCTCCATCCTTGCTCCTCCTCCTCCCTCCCAGAGCTGGAATGCTGCATGTTGGTCCAAATAATTTAGTCATGTTTACTTAGAGATTTTTTCATATTGAAAGTGTACTTCTCAGTATACTGTAATTATGAAACAAAGATTTGGGTTTTCAGTGCTATCTAGGTTAGTCTAACCTGAGGGGATAGAAACTGAGGCACTTGAGCACGAAGACTAGGCTGGGATGAGTTAAGAGGTTGCACTGGCGGTTGCTGCGGCTGTTGCATGGTCCTGGCTTGTGCTGTTCCGCTATTGCCAAACATACCCAGATTGCCACTCGGTATCTACATATGACAAGAAAGATGATTTAATTTAGATGCAATATTCCACAGATTCCATGACAATGACATGCTTGTGCTATCTTTTACTCTCAAAGATAAGAAAAGTTTTACTGATGTTCTGGTTTAGAATTTGGCACATAAGTAATAGACATAAATCTAAGACTGACATTCCGAGCTTGCTAAAGTTTTGTATGGTTGTTTGGCACCAGAAGGTTGAATATTTTCCAAAATAAAGTTGGTATGGACTCTAGGATGTCATCCAAGGACTGAAGAATAAAATCATCTGCAAAACAGTTTTCTGTGACCATCAGAAGAGCTGACAGCCACGCCGGACTCTGAGCATTGACATTTTCAGTTTTCAGAACAGATGCAGTCTGGTTAGCTGACATGTCACCTCCTCACAACCCAGACTTTAATAGTGTGCTTCAACCCAGCCCTCAGTGCTGCTGGCAGTATATGGCATAGTGCTTGGCGGTAATTTAAGGGACCTGGAGCTCTGGGTGCCGCTGTTGCTGCAGTACCAGACAAGTGCCCTGGCCATGTTAGAATTACCAGGCCCTGGGGCAATTGCTACTTTTGTCCCCCTCCACTGATAGGCGTGCCTGGTGACCATATGAAGGGGCAGAAGAATGAAGTCACTAAAATCATATCAACATACATGAATTGAATCATCTAACTAGTTTCCATACAGCCCCAATACACTTCTATTTTACCTTTTTATAATCTGTGCCACAGAAGAAGGCTATAGGATTTTTCTGTATACTTCTTTCTTTTCATGATTAGCCATAATTTATGAACTTACAATCACTCATTGTTTATAAGTATTCACTCCACTTACTTTCCCCTCCTTTTATTTTCAGTTCCTCAAATTCTCTTCCAACAAGGCAGATGAGACATGCAATTCCTGCCATTGAGCCTGCTAGTCATGCTCACTAAAGATATGCACGAGCTTTCTGTCCTCAGGTAAAAGTATCTCCTCTCAGAAAATGGGAGGAAAACTTGATATATATGGGAATGAGATTATATCATCTCTGAATAATCAAACCCCAGTGAAGGCTAATTAGAAGAATATTTATTTAAAACAAACTTTCTGGCGATCAGCAACACCTTAAAATATAAAAACATATCAGTCATTTAAGGTTTAGTCAAATATACTCTATATAAAGTTCTTTGTACTTCAAAATACAATGTTCTAGTATGATAAATCTGTAGTGCTACATTCTCTTCTAAATGGATGTGTAAGTTTCAGGTTATGGCAACCACAGTGAAACTGTGGCCTTTCAAGTGAAATGTTTACAATCACATTTCATATGAATAAATTTTGGAAGTGGTGCTTTAAACTGAAAAAAGGATCAGAAATTCCTTTAGTAGTAAGTTCAAGAGAGCTGAAATTCATATCGTGATCACTCCAAACAACCTTACCTGTCTAGAAGAATTCAAGTTTTGCATGCCCAGCCCTGAGGCAATCCCGCCCAGGGTCTGATTAGGGAGTGCACTGTTTGAAAGGGGGAGCTTCAGGCTTGGTGAAGGCAAAAATGGTGAAGTAGTGGGCTCTTCCACTAGGCCGCCATCCTGATTGGAGAAAGAAAGGGTGAGCTGTGTGCAGTGTCCATAAGCAGACAGAGCACAAAACAATTTCCCATGGGAATATAAAAGGGCATGGATAAATTGAAAAAAATCAAAATATTAAAAAGGCATGAGTAATAGGGAATGAAAAGTATGAGGAGGAGGAAAGAAAAAAAAAGAGAAACAGGATTAAGGTACTGCTCTTCTTTACTTTTGCACATTTCAAATGTACGGAAACATTTCCCATACAAAGCAAGTAGGAAGTGGTATTTATGCTAAGTTTAAAATCTAGTACAAACACGGTAAAACAACTTCCATGGCAACTGCAACTCCATGGATCAGATCACTGCCATACAACTGCTTTCACATTAAGTCTATTCTCTCCTCTCAGAACCAGAATAAAAAATGGAAAGTGAAATGGCTGAGCAAATTTCAGATCTTCTCCCTGTGTTTTGTTTGCGACACCATCAGAGAAATACAGCACCCATTTGTGACATGCAGTTTGGAAAGCTAGAACCAAAGAAAGAGCTCACTTTACAAGTTCTTTAGCAGAATGTTATGTGATCACTAGTCTGGGTTCAGTTCCAAATCACAACTCAGCTGTTCAGAAAGCATGTATGCTTTAATCTTTTCCAATCGAGTTTCAACTGGATGGTAAGACTTGTGACCTTGTTTTAATATTTGTGTTCCGCTGTTTGCTCTCTGTATATATACACATATGAACACAAAAAGACATTTAAAAACTACTTGTATCCTAAGTATTTACTCTTCCTGGTAATGCAATTAAAGTGCCAAGTGCCAAGAAGCAGAAGACAAAAAGTAACTGAAAGAGAAGCATACCCAGGAAGAACTGCAGGGCAAATATAACCTCACTGTAAGCATAATTAAATACTTTGTGTACCAAATAAAACTCCAAAATTGTGCAACAAAAATCCTTAAATTTGCATTGTATCTGAGATAATAATAACTAACTGAGTGGAATATTTTTCAGCCAATGCATTCACTTGCTAAAGCCAGGCTTTCTTATAGGAAAGAGAAAACATCAACTGACATTTTTCTACTCACTCAGAAGACTGCTAGATATTAAGAAATATCCTGAATTCACAAAGGGGACCAATCCTCTCAGCACAAACACAGATAAAGGATCTAACGATGGGAATTCTCAAAAAACTTTGTGTTCTAAATTACTCTGTAAATATGAATTTTCACTGTTGTCTTTTGATGCAAAGGAAAAGTTTGTTTATAATCAGTCAAAGTGACACCTGATTTGGTATTTGAATATCCTGAAGGGGATACTGCCATTTTCTAATACTATCCCCAAGACCTTTCAGCTCAAGATGTTTTACATTCTACTGGACATCAGTCATACTACATAAACAACTGCAGCTTGTATGACAGTAACAGGTTCAAAAATGTCTCCTGTCTAGGTCATGGAGATGTGTTAATCCTTTTTTTCTTTAAAGTAGAGACAATTTGCAGTAACTTGTGTGTTCTTTCTTCCAGGTGCCATCATGTTCTATTCAAGTAATAGCTTCTGGCCATACAAATGTGCTGCCAGAGAGATTAATAAATATTGCCAAAAGCAGAAATATCTATTGCCCTATTTTCACACTCACAAAAAAAAAAAAAAAAACAAACAACATTTAGAGCAACTGCAGAGCTGGTGACAGTTCTAGAATGACTATTATAGAAATTGAATTTTTCAGTTTTCAGAACAGATGTGGTCTGATTAGCTGACACGTCACCTACTAACAACCCAAACTTCAATAGTGTGCTTCAACCCCAAATTGGAACAATCAAATGGCAAGTGTAGTTCAGTGCTATTTTAATTTGAGTGTTGGTTACTTTTCTAAGTTTTACAGTAAGTATGCTGTTTTGATGAGGAGTATTTATTTTCTAGAAATGGAACTGAGGTAAACTCATTTCACTTAAGACACTTAATTCAATAAACATTAAGGACTTCTGTCACCACCAAACTAGGATAGGCTAGTCTTATATTGATGACCCAGAGATCTGTAACTTTTTTTTTAAACTTTAGGACCATCCAGTCACAGCCAACTTGGCTTTCCTCAGTCCATCTGTAATAATCTTGTTAAAAAATATTTGTATACTCCTCCCAAATTCAACCACCATATTGCCTAGCCAATTAGTACAATTTCTTATATTTGACTCCCCACAAAACAATGAAATCAATATGGAATTCAGTATTTTCTCAAAGGAGTTAACAATATTGTAAGCATCTAAGGACAACTCTTTTGGTTGGACAGCACAGAAGCCTTACCGGTGGCCAGTAAGGCAAAGATACTTACTTCCAGTTTTTTGAAAATCTTTCTTGGGGTTCTTTCTTGAGTCTTATATGCCAAATGAATAAGAACAGAAATCCTCTTGTGCTAAGGTTTTCAGTTGTATGAGATACTGACAGTTTCACATGAGATTCCCATACATCCCATGCCACCTAACTGCTACTACTTGATTTCAAAGGGCCTTTTAAACAGTACTGGATTTGTATAGAAAAACATAGCTTTTCATACAAATCAATTTCAAAAGTAAGACAATTTTAAAGTAAATTCAAAACCCCAACCCCTTCTAAAGGATGTAAAAATATTACACAGATAAAATAAAATATAGAAGTGTGGAGAGAAATCACACTTCAGAAGCAGACAGATGTGAGCAAATTTTGCAAGGTGATATATTTAAAGACGCAGGGATTACTAAAGAGCTTGAGTGAGGTTTCAAAATAAAAACAAACAAAAAACCCCCACTGAATGAGAAGCTGCATGGATGGAAGGAGGGATGAAGTGTGAGAGAGTGACTAAATCATTATTTAAAAAGTCCAACCACCAAAATCATACATATATAAACTAAAGATCAGAATATGACCCCCCTAAAGAGAGGAACTTTAAAAAATTGTTCAACCCAGTAGACACACCTGGCACAAAAAGAGAGAGCGCATGACTGAGGAGGGAGAAACTCATTACTATTCACCCCCGAGTAATAGTGTTAATCTGGGCAGAGAAGTGATTTATGGAACATGTTGAAAGCATCAAATCTTTTAGGCACCAAATTCTTCAATAAAGGTGAAAAACTGTTCTTTTGAGTGCATCTACACAGCAAGCCATTAAGCTGCAGGACTTCTTACTCTGACTCCTGTAACCCTGATTTCACAAGGAGTAAGGGAAGTCGAAGGAAGAGTGTTCTTCCTTCAACTTTCCTGCTGTGTAGACAGCACCAAAAGCCAAATTAAGCTATTTCAACTTCAGCAAAGCATAGCTTAATGCAACTTTTGCCCTGCTATGTAGACGTACCCTTAGTGAGCAAAATAGTACTGAATAAGACAGAATTTCATGTGATTCCCCAGATACTCTAGGGCTGTGTCTAGACTGGCCAGTTTTTCCGGAAAATCAGCCACTTTTCCGGAAAAACTTGCCAGCTGTCTACACTGGCCGCTTGAATTTGCGCAAAAGCACTGACTTCCTACTGTAAGAAATCAGTGCTTTTTGTGGAAATACTATGTTGCTCCCGTTCAGGCAAAAGTCCCTTTTGCGCAAATCATTTGTGCAAGAGGGCCAGTGTAGACAGCACAGTACTGTTTTGCGCAAAAAAGCCCCGATGGCTAAAATGGCGATCGGGGCTTTTTTGCGCAAAAGCGCGTCTAGATTGGCATGGACGCTTTTCCACAAAAAGTGCTTTTGCAGAAAAGCGTCTGTGCCAATTTAGACGCTCTTTTCCGAAAATGCTTTTAACGGAAAACTTTTCCGTTAAAAGCATTTCCGGAAAATCATGCCAGTCTAGACACAGCCCAGGTTCCAAAAGCAGTTTTGGAAGAAACATATAGGTGGCGTGAGTCAGAACTGGGGGTTACTGGTATGAATGGCACAATGTGGAAGATGTCATGAAAAGTCAAAAAAAGGAGAGAGTGAAATCAGGTGAGTTTATCATGAAATCAGCAGAGGTGATGCTGAAGACAAGTCCATTAACATACTTGACTCTGATGCCGAAACAGTCAGGAAACCATCTTTCAGTAGCAAACTGTATGATACAATAAATCTCAGAGATCTGTTTGCAGTTCCATGAGTCTGGCAGTTTGTAGTCTGCCAAGAGATACCTTGAGCATGAAGCTCTTAATATGTGGAGTACACAGCTTAGTTTGTGACTCACGTTGTAAGACACATTTTTTTCTCTAACAGTTTATTCTTCACCAACTCATCAAGAACAGGATTCAGGAAGTGTGGGAGGCAGCTCAATACAGGTATCTATCAATATTGGCCCTTTGATATTTCTGCCTTTGGACAAATTTGGAATTGGGCATCTAAGATGATAATGGTCCCTTAAAGACAATCTCAGCCAAAAAGGTACATGGAGCAACTCAACAATACACAAAAAACTTATGGAACTTAATCTGTTGCACACACATGGAGAGGGGGAACTGAAGCTGCTTGGAACAAGCAATTTGGTGGTGGTATCCTATGGAAACTGCCTCTTTCAGAATCTTCTACTTTTGGCACTCTGGTGGAAGCATCACTTCTTTTGGTGATCTGGTATTCAATACCATCAATTTGGTTGGCTAATAAACCAATAGGTTCTAGAGACTTCAACTTTGAGGTGGTCAGTGCAGATTACCTCCAGAAAAGTAAGTAGCTTTTCCATGGTTAGACGGAGAGCGTCTGAAGTTATGAGGGGTGCTAACACTGAGTTCTGATATTCAGCAATGAAACTTAAGATTAGACCTTTGCTTCTAGGTAAGATCTTCTGAAATATTCTGGTCTGATTGCAAGTTTCTCCCAGAATACCCATAAGACCCCACTGACATTTGAGTTATATCTTCAAGCAAATCTTACATCTAAGCAGAACATGTTGACTCCTGTTGACTTCTATGTACAAGATAATGTGTTTGCAATCATGTGTGAAAGGCATTGCTAGGCTGGGCTGTTCTTGAAGCCACTGGTGTTCCTTTTAAAGGACAAGATGACATCCTAAAAATACAATTGACAAAGACTAAGTGCCAA